TATATATATATATATGTATAAGAAGAAGTAGAAATAAAAAAGATCTCGAAACGATTGCGAAAAAATAAAATTTGTACCTTTCTTTACATTGAATTAGCATAGAGTTTGAAATCGAACGATGAATATTTCTACATGGAAGTCATATTTATAATTCAAATTCATTCTGCACGGCGTTGGTGAGCATCGCCCGTGTATCGCATGAAAAATGTCGATTTCTGATTTTAAAATGACGTAGATAATACTCCGTCTGGCGATACTTGTCGCATTGGATCGAATCGATTCGAGTCCGAAATTCCCCGCCATCAAGAGGACCCCGCCTAGAGACTGCTTCGTGAAAACTCGGTCGCGCTCGGGAACGTTCGACGCGCGTCGGTCGAAGGGCCAACGATGAGCGAGCGGGGCTGGCGGGGCGATTGGTACTGTTGGCAGTGCCGGCAGTGGCAATACTATAGTAATGGCGGTGTGGTGGTGTCGCGTACGCATAAGCGAAGGTGGTCGGAGAAGGCCGAGCTTGCCTGTCGGCTTTGATAACAGCGGGTGGCCTACCTAGTACCTACCACGACTGACGACAGTCGGACTAGTCGGAGCCGGTCGCTCGTCGTACGAGTGTCGTGACGTTGGCTTGGTTTGGCGTTTTTCACGCATCTCAATTCTCAACGACGCGAACTGTCAACCGCCCGCGATCGCCGTCGCACTCGAAACGCCACTCATTCGGGTTACCCATCGCGTTGTTTGTTAGTGCTCTGTCCGTTTTGTGCGCGATCCACAAGTGTCCAGTGTGCCCAGTGTGTGATTGATAATGAATAATGAACGCGGCAACGAGAGATAGGACCGCGTCGCAATTTGCTATTTGCTTGATAAGTCTTCCCAGCGGTGATATTCACGGCGACATCGCATCGGTGAGTTGAGAACGCACACCTTCATTCTATTCATCTTATTTCTATCGCTCGGAACACACTCGAGATACTCATCTGTCGGAGATAATTTAAAGGAACGTCCCTTTAACGAGCTTTCTTTCACATTTGTCAAATTTATTGACCGTACCAGAGAGATTTCCATTGACGTCATATGTCATCTTGCACCGTACGTTGGAGCTGCTCTGACTTGAAGTTGGCTTCGGCTTGAAGTTGATATCTTTAAAACGTGTCTCTCATCGTGAGAAGTTATTAGCTTTAAAAAAAGAAAAAACGTGATTTATTTTACAATTTTACTCTGATTTTTTTCGAACGGAGTATCATTCTTGCTAAAAATTATTTCAAAGCACAACTTATCAATTGTATGTAATGTTTTCTAACTAAAGGATCTTTCGATAAAATTATCACGCAAGTAATTATCAAATTAGTTCCCGAACACGCGTTATATAAGTTTTATAATTTCGAAAGTACACGGTAAAAACATCAACTAATAATGACATAACAACAATATAAACATATGTTTTACATTTTAACAGTTATATTGTTGAGTGTGGAATCATAACGTAAGTAACAAGTATCATATTCTTGTTACTTTGTGTTTGTTTACTGGTCATTGACACGATTCTCGCTCGATTTATAATAGACGTAACGTAGAATTATTTCGATTGATCGAGTGAATCTGCGATGAAAGACGATAATCAACGTGCGCTCTGAAAGCATAATCTACGTCTACGTTATTTTAACCTTTGTGACGTGCTCTCAAATCCCTGTACAACGTCGCAGTGTGGAAAGCGCACCTGTTTATGTGGGTCGCGACATAACGCGTTATCGTCCAGATGTCAAAAGTGATTCGCTCGCGAACGGAATATAGGTTAACATTCCATCATTTTCCACGTCAACCTTTCGAAGGGGACGCCCTCGAACTCGGGAGATGGAGATCCACGTGATCCTCGAACAAGATGGACAGACAGCGTTGGAGAGCCGCGTCACACAAATCCGCTTCACGCAAATCCGCGTAAAAGAAAAAAAAAAGAAAAAAAAAATCCAAGAGAGACGCATCCGTAAAGAGCTTCAACGATCCCTTCCTCTATTTTTCTTTTTCGGAGTCTATGACTTTCCGAGCTTGTCGTCCGAAGGTGGATTTGCTTCGAGTGCTTTCACGCGATCACTTGCACGCACGCGACGATTAAACCGACGTTTCTCATGCTTTTTTTTTTTCTGAAATTGTGAGACAGCGATGCAGTTTATGGGGACATTTCTGTGAGAATTTTTATAGAAAAAAAAACGTGAATTATACATAATTTCAATTGTGAGTGATATCATATCATATGATAATAACAGTATAAAAAATATATGTAATTGGTTTAGAATGTAAATGATAGATGTAAATATTTTAATGAACATCTAATGTAATGTGTGACATTATAAGTAACATAATTCTAATAAATTCTTTTGCTTCGCTATTGCTGTTGTAAAATATCTAGTGATAGATAGTGATTATTTAAAAGGAAATTATACATTGCCATGTGCTTATGAATTCGTTCACATAGCTCGAGAAAGATGTCGAATTAGATGTAACAAGATATCTAATATTTAAGTAAGGGATTTCCAATTAATAATAAATAATATTACAATTACTTTGAAAAATGTAGTTAGAAAATTTTGGAATTTCGGAACACTACATTGGAATTTTATTTCTGTTTAATAACGCGTCGTAAATATGGATCGCGCATACAAAGATTGAGTGCACAATACATGCCTTTGGCTTTAATATAGCGATTGAACGAACATGACGGGAAGCTTCGATCGAATTTATGAAACTCGCGGTGGAATGTGGCTATGCTTTGATAGCAAATGTATTACGAAAGTCAGCAATTCTCGTAATCGATGTTTTCGAAGCTATTAGATATTTCAAAATCTATGTATCGATACAACTTGCGTTTTGTTGAACATACAGGGGATACCATATGTGTGACGTAATATTATATTTACATGTCGCTACACGCATGTTGCATTTCGTTTGAATTTATCACCCGTGATGAAACGTTCGAAGAAGCAAAAAATTACCTTCACACTTCATGTTAGGCGCGTCTAAACTTCTGCTCTGTTACTTTTATTTTAATTTATTATAAAAGATTAATTATTTACCTCTATTAATTAATTTTATTAAATAATTGAGTCAAATGAGAAATAGACGAAACACTCAATTTTAATTGATTTTATTTTCTAAACTCCTCTTATCTTACTCTTTTATGTGACTGTCAGAATTACATTATTATATTTATATTATTTTCAATTGATATTTTTATTTTAAAGATATATTATTCCATATTATATTATTTGCGCACACTTATACACGCTTGCTTATAATTTGTTTATAATATCCGATAATAGTTATTCAAATTAAAAGTATAACGAAAGGATCGAGTTGAAAATTCTCTCGTTTCCAGGTATTCCTCGTACGACTATGAATACGCGTACATGTACAAACGTAACGTTCAGATAAAGACGTTTGTGCGACGTGTATGCCAGTGAAAAATTAGAATAGCCCCTGGTAGGATCGTAAAGAAGTCGTGAAACAATTCTAACGACCGACATGCTCTCGAACTTTGCCTCTCGGCGCCAGCACGTTCATGACCCACCCGAGGTTGATGCTCGCATATACATTGTTCTCTCTCATGACGAGAAAATGAAAACAATCGAATATGAAATAACGATATTCGAATACGATATGTTATTTGTTTAATTTACATTTACATATATTACTGATGAGGAAGCATTATTACATTCTTCTTATTTCTCTCATTGATGTGTATTACCTATATATAGGTACATACATACATGTATGTAGATGGTACTGCAGATTACATTATATTTTATATGTCAATGAGATGCGGGGTTGCTGATATTTTTCGTCATTAAAATCCGCGCGAAATGTTGTACGGAAGTGTTAAAGAAATTCATGCAAATTGTTCGATTATTATGCATAACTGGCAATGCGTCCGACGCGATTGCATGCCCTTTAGGATTAATCGTAAGTGCATTCGCGTGAAAAACGCTACGCGAACAATGCGATCGCGCGGCCATTTCCAGCTGCTGCATATTTATTCGAGCGGCATTTAATTAATACCGAGCGTTTAATTAATCTAAGTGGAAACGAAAACACGTGGAGCAATCGAACGGGCAACGATAAAGGAGAACGATAACGGCACGGCTAGATTTTCTCAATACAGCAAGGGCGCGCGCGCTTTTGAAAGTTCATTGCTATATAATCTCGGAAATAACTGCTGGTCAGTCGATCGCAATTAATTCGCGGAAAAGTAGAGAGCGTAACCTCGCGAGATAAAAACAAAGTTCGTGCCCCGCGTACGGATTCATCAGCCGGGTTCATGGCGATATATTCGAAGGGCAAACATAAAGGCAGAAAAAGTTTAATTGACATCGCAGCCACGCGATATATATACTCCGTGAGAAAAATAAAATGTAGATACTTTGCGCGATAGAATGTAATCAAGGAGAGAGAGAGAGAGAGAGAGAGAGAGAAAGATCCAAGTTGGCGCCGCTGAGCTTCATTCAACTTTAGAAGCGAAGCGCAATGCATCTTTAATTAAATCTCTGGCTGGCCGGTTGGCGTTCCAGATTGAAATATATATTCTACGAATTCCCCTCGTTTTTTCTCCCTGCAAAAGGACAGGACTGTGATTCCGACGATCGTGTTTCGAACGCGATCAAAATCGAGATCGTAGATCTCGCAATACGCGATAATGGGGGATCCGTTTATATATATATATAACCTCACAAGTAGAATCTGCACTGAGAATTTTCGCAAATTAAATTTAAAATCGTATAGGTGAATCTGAATTAAAAAATTCATTTCCAACTATCCTTCCAGATAATTGCTAAAGTGCTTCCGCTTTAATTTTTGATAAGCGAAGCTATTAAATAAAACCAACTAGCAATTTCAAGATTACCTTATAATTAGGCGTTTTAAGGTCAGGTTATAGTTTGTACTAATACAATTATTATATAGAAAATAATTGAATAAAATGCATTGGTAAATACGATAACTTATGTAGCGATATCCTTAATCGTTATCATAATTTTTTCGTTGTGTAAAAAAATCCTACGCAGGAATTGTTTTTTTCTATCAAACACATTTTCTTTACGCATTGGTAATTCCAAATGCATAGTTCCGGTCAGTAGAAATTTCCAAGCGAATTCCCGTGTAGGAGGCAACAACTTCATTTTCCTCCTCTTTTCGTTCACGATGTGGCTTAGATGCATATAGATAGATGTCCACCTGCTCGTAACAGTTTGTCCTGATACAGCTGCGTTGAACTATTACCTCCAATCCCCTCTCTCCTCGTCCTTCCGCTGTTCTCTCCCCTCAGGCATCTTCAGTTTCCATGAGTTTATACCATTTCCGCTTTCCATCCCGATGGTACCTGATTATTCCGCACGATAATGTCCCTCGTCACGATCGTCCTGCATGTTAAGCGAGTCTTGACTAATGATAAAGATGAGCTGGCGTATAGGTATGTGAGATGGTTTCCAAATTACAGTTCTCGGACTTACACAACGTCCTTGCGCACAGTGATGACGGGTTGCATATCGGTACATATGTGTATGCATGTCCTGCGAAATTTTCATTGATTTAACAATTATGGGTTTATGGAAACATATTAATATGAAGAAAATAAACTTTTTTCTCTCTCCCGTATGTATTATACGTATAAGAGAGAGGGAGAGGGAGAGAGAGAGAGAGTATTAATAATATTTTATATTTCGGTTCTCTCTGGGAAGAATCGTTATGGAATATGTAGTATACATCAAGTGCCAATATACAGGTATGATTATCATCGGACTATACAATACGATGTTTCCAAAAGTTTCGCAATATGTACTCCTTTTCGCGACGTATTGAGGTATTGAACGAGGGATGAAAAAAGGCGATGAGGTGAATCAAATTTTATGTAACCAATCAT